TCTTTCAAGCCCTACTAGAGGGCTCTAAAGGTGCACTTTTCTTCTACTTTTCTTATTCGTTAGAATCGTAAGCATTTTGTTGAAAAGATATATTATAATACGTTTTCAAGGTCACTGAGGAATATTGTGGTCTTAAGAGTTTAATTTAAAAAAGGCAAATCCTATATGGCAGATCGATACTCAGAATTTTACAAATTTTGCATTTTCCAAAAACATACTATAATTTTTATAAAATTTGAAGTACAGAGTGTGTCTTGTTGTTTTTTTAAATATATTACAGACCCGATTGAAAATAATAACGTAGTTTTGCTTCGTATTTGAGTACGTATCAAGAGCACGTCATATCAATACGAAGTGTTTGTTTGAAACCTTTCGTCACCTAATTGTATCACGTTCTTGGCAGTCGTGAAATGTATTTCCATGTGANAAAAAATATTAAATAAAGGCCAAAAATTGGAAAATTTTATGGTTTCTTGAACAATAGTAATTTTGCTTCCGTTTTCCACTACTGGGAGAATTTGACGAAAGTCTCCACCTAAAATTATTATTTTATTTCCAAAAGGTTTATTACTACTAGACAAATCTTTCAAAGTCCTATCAACGATTTCTTACGCTTCTTTCGGTATCATAGAAGCTTCATCCCAAATAATTACTTCTACATTACGTAATTTTTGTTTATCTGGCTCAAACTGGAAGAATGCACTTTCTACAGTGCTTAAGCCTAAAGGAAGTCTGAAAGTTCTGTAAGTGATCATTCCCTTTGGGAGCAGAATAGAAGCAATACCTGTCTAAGCCACTATGTAACTAACAGAAGATTAAGATAAGTAGTTTTTTTGGTGCATTGATATTTTTTTCTTTAAGAATACAGATACCTACTAAAGTGTTTTAAAAATATTTTACTCTAAAAAAGATCTACAGTAACTGGGAATTCAACCTCCATCATTTGTAGGTTTTCTGTAGAAAACACTGTTAATAACGGATAATCAATCGATTTTAAATTAATTGTCTGCAGGTATCAATGTTTAACCATTATAATGAAAAAAATATATTTCTCGTCATAATTACATAAATACATCTTCAAATTTGAAAATCAATAGGCGTTTATACCTATGGATGTTGTACAAACTTACTTTCGAACATAGTAATTTTTACTTTACTGAATAGCAATCCAGTGGAATGAGAAATTTTACTATGACACAGAGCGAAATCTCCTTTAAAATGTGGGATATTTTAAAACGATTCAAATAATAATTACTATGTTGTATAGAAAAATTGTACGCTCACAATTCTTACTATGTCAGAAACAGTTATTTTTATAATGCCATGTAATTATTTGCGTTCGGCTGCTACACAATATTAATTATTTTGAATATAATAAAAATTATTTAAAACGTAACGATTGGCATCATTAGGTGGGTATGTCTTAGCTTTTTCAAAAAATATAGAAATTTTTTAGTACAGTTTTACATCTTTTTTACACACCACTTTTATTAGTGCGGTCAAATTAAAAAAATTCAAAATTTGTGATCATCACTGACGGCAAAGATGTTTGTCAAAAAATCTGAAAAAATTACTAAACAGTTTTCATGTGGAGTACTACCCATCTCTAAAGCTCGTTGGGCTATATAGGGCACCAAACTGGTCAGTTACCCAGGGTACCAGAATGTTTTAAGCCACCTCTGCTTAAACTCTGTAGATTTTTCAAAAAAAGAGATTTAGTTATTTTAGATTATGTTTAAAAAAAAGCAAATTTTCTTTTTCAATCTAGGCTTCGTGCCAGATAGGTTCTGTGAGGTACGATGCTGCACTGGTAAGAGGTTGGAACTTGCAGGGTGCAGACGCGGGGGATGAAAATAAACGCGGGTGAGAAAAATAGAGCTTGACTTTTACTGTTTTGAATCAGCGTTATTTTCTTATCGTACAGTGTTACAACAGAGAGAATGAAGAGCTCAGCGTAAAATGACTGGCTCTCGTACTCATCGTAGACAAACTGCTCGCTGCTGCACATCCCTTCCGGGAAAGGTAACCTCGAAGAAGAGACCATGCAATCGGAAGTTAAACAGTTCTATAAAGAATCAGACTGATATGAGATGTTTGAAGATCGCTTAGAATTTTATTTTTCCGCAAAAAAGATCACGGAAGCAGAAATGAAAAAGGCAGGGTTAATGACGCATGTAGACAAACTATATACAAACTAAGAATGGTCAAAATGTTATAATTAACCCTAAAAATTTTATACTATATTAATGAGTTACATAAAGGTTAAATAAGTTTCATGAAATTATTCACAGGCATGTATATATATTAAATATTACTTTTAACTCGTTTACCTGTACGCGTTCTGTATAATGAACAGCTGTATTCATTGAAGCCCAAAAGTTGTCTGCTGATAGCTCGAAATTCGGTGAGAGAGAGCTCGGAGAAGCACTGAGCTCGCTGAGCCTGGACATTGTGCTGTGAGAGCACAACCGTCGGGCTTACGTAGCCCCCCCCCCCTCGATCTTCTGCAGTTCAATGTAATGCCGTACTGTACTAGCCCAAACTACAGGCTACGCGGCGCGCATGGTTGTGCAGTCTCAGTTGAACGCTGTTTTGAACTCATGTGACTCGATCTTCGAGTCAAGGCAGCCTGTACACTTGTGCAGTAGGAGCTCAAAGCGATTTGAACTTCTCTAGCCTGCGTAACTGGGCTCTGTACGTTCAAAAGTTTTTTCCGTGTAGCGGTAATTTCATCACACAAGTATGAAAATGGTATAAAGAAGCGAATCACGTTTGCATCAAATAAATTCCAAGCAAGGAATTAAGTAGAACTATCAACTACAAAGGAGCGGCAGCGATTGCATTGGGGCTTAAAAATAGTTTTAATTTTTATAGTTTTGTACTCGGGCGCCAAGTAATTTCACGTACAGATCATAAGCCACTCAAATTCATCTTCAGTCTTAAACAGTTACACTAAAAAAGGTATTTAAAGAAGAAAACAATTATATACATTTTTCATCAATTATAGCTTTTTTCGCAACGACTGAAAAAAAGGTACAGTGTCAAATAGGATAAATCAATAAGAATTTTGAAGATGTTTAACTAATAGAATTCTTATAAAAAAGTTCACTACTTGCAAACATTTTAGTTATTTTATACTCATTCAACTATTTTACAACTACTGAAGAATACTTATGTGTTCAGCGTAAAATGGGCTCGTAGTTTCCGTACATTATCACTGATCCGCATATGAATGAACTAATTTTAAATTGATGAGCTTACAATTATTTACGTCCATTTTTAAATGGGTAAACATATTTGCTTACCGCAGTTATCTACTGGTATGAGCCCCTCAGGGTACAAGTAGAGTTTTAATATAAAAGTTGAATATCACAACTATAATACAGTACTAAACCACCACGATTTTGAGTGAAAATTGAATTACGTAACGCACAGTTTACTTATAGAATATAACCAAGAAACATGCCCTGACTACGATTACAAATATGGGAACTATCTGGTTAAGGTCTTCAAATACTCAATTTTTACTTTTTAGTTTATCGCACGGCTAATTGCACAATTAAATATCGCCGTGAAGATATACGACTACCACTGCTTTAAGTATAAGTCGAGTAAGTTGACGGTGATAAAGATTCAAGAAAATTTTATTTGTCCTGATAGTATGGTAAAGTTTGCTGAAAATCATATCGATATCTTAAAAATTCTGATAAGCCTGAAAAAAGAGGAAAGTAGTTTAATGCACGGTAACAAATCAACACAAAATTTACCAAATAGAAATAAATAAAAGATTCCGAAAATGTCAAAAATAGACAAAATATATTTTTCGCGTCTAGAAGAAAACCGAAGAATCGCACATTACGTATTTTGTCAAAAAAATGCGCGTTATAATACGAACAAAATGAGGCACGTTTAGTTTAAATTGGTTTAGCCAATTTTTTTGAAAATCGCAAAAAACTGTCATTTTGGGCCATTTTTTGATATTTTGGAAATTCAATAACTCACGTTTTATACGATATTAGGAGCTGAAATTGTTTCGTTAATCACTAGACTTAAAAATGTTATTTAGTTAAATCGTTCATCCAATTTTAAAATCGCTTTGTAATTTTTTAAGATATTTAAAGGAATTCAGAAATTACAAACAGTTTGACATTCATTTTACAAGAAGTTTCTGATTCCTACTTTAAATACTTTACAACACAAACTTAAAATAATTTCGTATAGGGGACGAGATGATTTAAAACTTTTCTGCACTTAAACTCTCTCCTTCTGACATGTGGTTAGACTAGGACGAAATGTTAGCACAGACACGGAGTCTTAGTAGTCATCTCAATAACTATCACAAAGGCGTCACGTGGATTTAGGTCAACCTCAGAGCCTCTAGGTGTCTCGAGCACTGCTCGAGTGATAAGCCCAGTGATTTACCCTAACAACACCATGACTACTCCCTAGCACGTTAACTGCTTTGGGGTACGTTATCACCTTTCTAAAAGTGGTCGAGTACCGAAAGTCCAAATAGGCACCAGTTAGTGTTAGCAATGCACAAGCAATATACTTATACTGACTTTCGTAGTATTGGCTTTTGTGTTCTATTCTTTTCTCACTTGGTGTATGCTAGTGACAGTTTGAACTAGTGTACGGGAGAGTCCCAGGTCTGAGTTGGTATCGGATTTACGCGTCTGAGGCTAAAGAATCACTGCCATAATATACGCTATCTCTTTGCGTGCCATTCATTCTACGGATCAGCCAATAACTCTATCATATAAATTATCTAACGTCTTGCATACTATTAATAGCACATGTTGTTTGATTTACATTTGTCATCCTTAATCATAAGAATAAATAAAAATAAATTAAAAAAAAAAAGAAAAGATAAAGGAAATGAAATTTTAAGAAGTTCTTATATGATAAAGATTGCATCCTTGCAGGTCACAGTATCGAAATTTTATGAACCACCAATAGTTCTGTTACTTATTATGATACTAAAATATTAATGCTATTACCATTTAACAAATGAAGTTCCGGTATATATGTTTGAGGATTGATCAATCGAATAGAACATCCGTTAAGAAAATAATCCCACACGACACTTGGAACTGCCCTGCCTTGTGGATTATGTGTTTTTCTCCTATTGTTTGAGAACGATGTAACATCTAAATTTTTCGTAAACATTATGTGATGTTCTCTTAAGATTGTGTCTATCAAATGGGAAGAAATTAAATCTTTGTAGTAGGTGGAATTGCTTCGTTTGATATGTAAAGGCTTCATTTCCCAGTTATTTCTGAAAAAAAATTGTAATTGTTAAGTGCACAGAAGGTCTCGTTTATGAAAAATTAAAATGAATCATATTAGTAAAAACATTTGCAAAATTTTTAGAAATATATCTCATAATACACTGTGAAAATTGTAGACTAAAAGCTAGCAAGTTGAGACCAATGTAACCCTCAAAGTAATTATTTAATAAAAGTGGTCTGCAAAGATTCTCGCTATAAGTCACAAATAGTGCCACGCGTAATTCTTCTTTCGCATTACAAGTAAAGCCCGTGAGTATACGACCATCATGAACTTCAGGTAGTTCCACACGTGGTCAGGTGTGCTAGCCATGGAGAGAAGTTCGCACATGTTACGCGTTAGGTAGCAATACCACGTACGTCACTATGCATAAAATGTATCTAAAACAGCCAAGTATACTAAGGATCACCCGTGGCCCTGATTTTAAGCCGAAAGTAGTATACATTGCAAATGTCGCTTAGCAGTTTCTGCATCCGATCATGCGTATGACTGATTTCGGTCCATAATAGTTACATAGTGGGACACTTTACATGTAATGCGTATGCGTAAGCATAGCAACCTTTGGTTCGTGACTATTACACTCAACCACGCGTGGAACTGATTTTGGAAAACGGTCGTCGTAGATCTGAGAGTTTTATTTGGAGAGAGACAAGCGAATCACAATAAATTAAATATGGTGCTACTTCAAAATAAAATAATTAAATATGTGCCTATAATTTTTTAAATTAAACACAAAAGTGGTTGTAAAAATAGGCAGTACCATAAATGTGTCAAGCCTTTTCCGATGTTATCTTTACTACTTTTTATCAACATTTACCTCTTCTCATAAAAACTTCAGAAGTCAATAAAAAGAAATACTTAGATTGTTTGTATTGCATCTGCTGCGGGCATAAGTATGTGGAATAAGAAAATTTAAGACAAAAACCTTCTCATAACTAAACCTTTTTAAGGGTATCCTGAATTCTTGTTTTATAAGATGAGGAAAAAAGGAAGATTAACTAAATCAGTTTTGAAATTAATAGTAACATTACACAATGAAAAAAAAAAAAAAACTAATAAAATACAATACAATCAATGAACAAGGAAACTCTAACTCGATCTGAATTGCCCTCAAAACTTAAATAGAACAATATTACAGTATATTTGTACAAATAAGATCTTGTTTTAAGCAATGCTAAGACAGAAAAATATCATACAACTAGGTATCTGAAAACGAAGATGCACAAGTTGATACACATTGATCGTGTACAACATCAACTCAAAGAGAACTTAGATGAGATTTTCTCACTACTTCACCCGAAAATCCGAGCTTTAGCAGTAGTGTATTAGGACAAAAGCCAATACTTCTTTCCTCTCGACGGGATCTCAATATCACGTAGAGGGGTCGGGAGAAAAAACTCCTTGCTCCCTACTTCTTCTTGCATGAAAGATGGTGATAAAAACAAATTTAATAATGCCAAGGTTTAATAAACCGTATGGCAATGTAAGAAAATACAAAAGGATTTACAAACATTATTATATAAAACAAGCATAAATATACAGTATAACAAATTTTTGGCATAAGTAACAGACTATTAGAACAATCAATGAGACGCATTTCCACAACAATTAATATAAAATTATCTGTTAATGTAAAATACATAAATTAAAATTATTGTGTGTCCAGTATGTATGCCCGCGAGTTCGTATATGTGTATGTAAGTATATATGCTTCAAAATCTATCTCAACATTTATAATGAACTCTCAAAATCAATCATTAAAAAAATTTTCGGAAAGTGCAACTTTGAAAGATTCGTAAGTGACTTTCAATTTCACAGACCCAGGAATCTCCTCCCATAATTTTAGAGCAGTTATGACAAAATAACGCTCATACGTGACTGTACGTGCGAAAGGTATAAAATAGCCAGACGTAACACGCCTAGCAGATCTCCTCAGGTCCTCGGTCTGCGGAAATAGGTCCGCCAAGTATTTCGGCTTCCCTGAGGTAAGAAACCGATAAATCATACAACCCAGAGGTATTTCCTCCGGGCCTCAACAGTCAGCCAACCGAGCTGTCGGTAAAAGGGTCTCATTTCAGCGTCGCGGCCTACCCCAAAAATGAATCTTACAACTGTATTAAACAAACGGTGTATCATAAGCTGGAGATACTGCGAAAGGTCCAAGTAGGCCAGAGACACGTAATCGAAGTGGGGGAGCACAAGTGCAGCTACAAGCATTTTCTTCATTGACCACGACAACGAACCCGCCCTAAACTGGAGCCTATGCAATACACCGTGGACAGTCGAACAAACCCGAGAAATCTGGGCGTTCCAGGTAAGATCGTTGGTGATAATAAGATCTAAATTCTCAACCGACTTAAAGAAGGGCAACACTGTATCGTGAACAACTATTGGTGGTATATCTGAATAATCAATCGTCCTCAGCAACTGAGGCGTTGCCAACAATTGTGCTGTAATCTTAGAAAAATTAAACGACAGTCCATGATTATTGGTCCAATAATCGACAGCACTTATGTCAATATTAAACTTCCTAATGGTATCCGGTATATCTCCAGGCAGGCACTGGATGTACAACTGGAGGTTGTCTGCAAAGAGCATAGCTTTACTATGTTTAAGACACAATATAACAGAGTTAATGTAGACGAGAAACAGTACCGGGCCAGGCGACAATCCCTGAAGGATTCATGAGGTAACGCTACGAGGCTCGGCCATACCTCCACTACCATTTATCACCGATAGAGAGCGACCTGATGTGAGTTTCCAAGGGGCCAGAGGGGTTTTTAACCTTCGATAACGGCACGATACTTGAAACTTTCCACAGATTCGGGTATGTACAGGTAGCCAATGAGGCATTAAATATATGTACAAAAAAAGGCAATATAATGAAAAGTACATCCTTAAAATAACGCAACGACAGCCCATCATTACTCAGACTTTTTGCCCTCGAGAGACAATGCAACATCGCCTGTCGGACCTCAATCTCAATTGCGGGGAAACAGCCCTCAACAGCCCCTGGCGAAGAAAGGTCTTCCGAGCACGCCGTATTTCTGCCTTCACTAGCCTGCGAAGCACTCTCTACTCCCGCAGCAAATCATCATCACCAGCTCGCCTCGCTCTCTTATGCATGCGATTGCGAGCCTTGCAACGATTCCTCAAATCGTCCGTGAACCAAGGCGCCGGAGGCCTGCGGTAGTGGCAGTCACAAAAAGGAGCCATAGAATCCAGGAGACCCACTGCAATCTCCCGAAAACTCGCGAGAGCACTGTTTACGTCACAATACGTCCGACTCCTGGTCCATAGCCGTGGAGAGCTGAGTCGAGAACCTCTCGGCCGAAAAATGTCGGAAATCGCGCAACCTTCTAACCACCCTAATCTCGCGTACCACCTCGATCCTATAGTCCAAACAAATAAAATTATGTTCATATATAAACGGTGCCGATGACTGCCCAACTGATAATATTTTATCCTTGGAATCGACCACGATATGGTCTATCCAAGTACTCACGGCCCCTCGATGATGCGTAGCCTCAAACTCTACCAAAACCAGTGAATGATCCGTAAGGAGCCCACGAAGATGAGCTGAATAAAAATCTGTACCTAACATACCGGTATTCAAATCGCCCGCAATGACCAAGTTCGAATAACGCGTAGAACACCTACCGAGGGCTTCAAAAAATTTCGAGAGTACTTCGCCTTTAGGGCGCCTACATACCACAGCCAACAAGAGCTTTGGTGACATTAGTGACGACAACTCAACAAACATATATTTATTTTCATTAACCGATAATATAACTGAGAAGTCAAACACTTTGCAACGGATTGTATCTCTTACATAGCAGGCCACACCACCACCCTGGACATACTCTCTTTTACCGGTGTTTGATCTCAGAGCACGGTCATTACGCAGTAGGTGGCACGATGGAATTGAGTATAGTGACGAGTCCCGTGCTGGAGTAAGCCATGACTCGGATATAGCCAACACGTCAAGATTTAAATCATTAAGCAGCCATCCAATCTCATCCATATGTGCCCCCATGGAATTCGCATTTATATGCGCTATACGCAAACTACTGGCGCATGCACCTCGAGGCGCTGAGGAAGGTCTGGCAGGCAGTCAATTCAACAATTTTAGGTCCAAATCCGAAGCAATAACAACCATATCTGACTTATTATCCTTACGCACCAAAATCTCTCCTCCGCGCGCCCAAACATATTTATAACAGCGTTTTTTTGCTACGTCCTTGGTTTGCATGTAAAGCTTGTATACCGGGTAAGAAAGCATTTCGTAAAGTTTTATAACAGCGCTGGTATTAAGATCGGAAAACAGAGTCGAGTATTTAATTTCGCCGCAGGACTTTTTCTTAGCCAGAACAAAATCACGCGTACCAGTCGACTTGAATGACGCAATGAACGATTTATATTTATACGCAGGTGCCACTGCAGGTCCGGCCGCCTCCACCGAGGTCTTAGCACTCTTTGGCTGCATAGGTTTTATACATAAAATATCACTCTCTAAGTGTTGTAAGCCCAGTATAATTAGCACAGATGTTATAATTCGGCCAGGGAGTGACCGGACTCACATGGCACTCCAGTCACCCTCAAATCAACCGTAGGCTTAGCCCTCTCCATGTTCCTACGCGCACCCACTTCCGCCTTCAATTCGGTCACCTCGGATGCAAGGTCGACGACCCGGGCCCGCAAAGCAGCATTCTCGGATACGAGCTCCCTGATACGCCCATCGTGCTCCATCGCCCAGCTATTCATGGAGTTCAGTCACTCATCTATAGCAGCAAAGCAATCAACAGTATACAATTTTATGCCATTTATAGATGTCATTAGTTCGAGAAAGCGGCGATTCTCATCGAAGCCTTCCCAACCGAGCGGCATCGGAGGCGTCTGATTTGCCGCACCGACTATCATGTTATCATCACTTTCAGTTGGCAAGCCGGCAGCCCGCCGTGGACTCGACGTGCCAGGCGATGAAGCATTCA